AGGCGGGCCGAGATGTCACCCAAGGTGTCTTTGAAGGTCGCAGCCAGCCATTGCAGTCCCCTCCCCCTGTCTTCCCTAGTGCCGCCCTGCCACCTGCCTACGGTTTGTGGCATTTTGGTGGCTTGTCCTAGCATCTGTTTGGTAACTCACTTAGTTACATTTCCCATTGCTGTGGTACAATGCCTTGGCAAAGCAGCTGTACGGGAGAAAGGGTTTATTAGGCTTCAAATTGCAGCTCCCAGCAATTCGTCACGAAAAAGTCAAGACAGGAACTCGAAGCTGCTAGCCACATCCACAGCCAATGGTACACAGTGAGAGTGAATGTGTACAGGATTCTTACTCAGCATAGTTTCTCCAGTGCTCTGCAGTTCAGGACTAAAACCCAGAAATAGTACCCACTGGCCGGGCCATTCCACCACGATTAATTTAACCAAGATAAACTCCTCCCACATTATATACAGGCAGACTTGATGTAAACCAGTGTAGCAACCCCTTTGGGAGTCAAACCACCCTTTCACAACGGTCGCCTAAGATCATCCCGAATATCAGATATTTATGTTCAGATTGATAACAGTAACAAAATTACAGTTATGAAGTAGCAATGAAAATAAATTTATGGTTGGGAGACACCAGAACCTGAGGATTTATGCTAAAGGGTCACAGCATTAGGAAGGTTGAGAAGCACCAATGTAGACTAGCCCTCCTTAGATGTCTATTCCTGCCTATTCTCCCCTCCAGCTATAGCCTTGACAATTGAAACGAACCATCACAACACCCACCTTATAGATGTTTGTGGGACAGACTTGTTCAAAGAGTGTGTTAGAGGCCTCTTTGGGGAAGGATGGACATGACTGCTTGTGGTTTGCAGTGGGACAGATTAGTAAATTCACTTTCTTCTTAGCTTTAGCCAATATCCCTGGCTGGGGTCCAGCCAATGGAAAGGCAGGTCATCAGAGTTCCTACCTATGGGTCTCTGAATATTTTGCTCCAAGCAATGTTTAGCTCTCTGAAGCTTAGAACTTTCAGATTATCTCTGACTTGAATTTCTAAGCACTGGAGGCAGATTATCCACAGAAGCTCAGGAAACATTAACTAATTAACTATAGATGGTTGCCATAAACTCTTGGATTTTCTAGTCAGTGATTAACCCTGAGGCAGGAATGGAGCATATTCTCTCTCTCTCTCTCTCTCTCTCTCTCTCTCTCTCTCTCTCTCTCCACACACACAATCAGCATTTATATTTAAAACAGAAAAAAAACTACAAGAAGAAATTAGTCCCCCCCCCATACACCAAGATTAGTTTTCCTAACTAATCACAAAGAGTCATAAACAAAGAAAATATAACTTACCTTGATTGGTGTTACTGTCTTGCCCTGCGAAGTGTATTTAGCTACAGAAATTACTAAGTACAATAAGTGACTCTCAACTACACATGTTGAAAAAGCAGGAACCGCCGGGCGGTGGTGGCCCACGCCTTTAATCCTAGCATTTGGGAGGCAGAGGCAGGCGGATTTCTGAGTTCGAGAGTTCGAGGCTAGCCTGGTCTACAGAGTGAGTTCTAGGACAGCCAGGGCTACACAGAGAAACCCTGTCTCGAAAAACCAAACCAAACCAAAAAAGAAAAAAAAAAAGAAAAAGCAGGAACCTGTTTGTTTCTTTTAAATTTTGTGATTTTGAAGAGCATGTTTAATTACAAGCACAAGGAACTATGCCCAGTCTTTTTTCTTTTTATAAGTAAGTCTGAAATTGTGTTTTTATTTACTTAACTTTTTTGAGATTAGAGTCTCACTATGTAGCCCTGGCTGGCCTGACTTTGAGCTTTTGCTTCTCCTTCCTCCAAGTTCCAAGGGAAAAGGCTAGAGTTATAGGTGTGCACACCATGTCTGGTGCTGAGGCTAGAACCCAGGCTTCCTCTATGCTGGGCAGGCCCTCTGCCAACTGAATAACATCCTCAGCCTTCATTCTTTATTCTTTTTTTTGTCTTTGTTTTTCGAGACAGTGTTTCTCTGTGTAGCCTTGGCTGTCCTGGAACTCACTCTGTAGACCAGGCTGACCTTGAACTCAGAAATCCGCCTGCCTCTGCCTCCCAAGTGCTAGGATTAAAGGCATGCGCCACCACTGCCTCGCAACATTCTTTGTGAGACAAAGTTTCTCTGTATAATACTCCTGGCTATCCTGGGCTAGCTTTGTAGACCAGGCTGGCCTCTAGAGGTCCTCTTGCCTCTGCCTCCCAAGTGCTGAGATCAAAGGTATGCCGCCACCACATCTGGTGCCTATTAACATTTAAAAAATATGTGTATTTGTTATTTTATGTGTATATGTGTTTGCCTCAATGTATGTCTATGCACTACATGTGTGCCTTATGCCTATGGAGGCCAAAGCATGTGTTGGATTCTCTGGAACTGGAGTAACAGGGGGGTTTTCTTCATCCTGTCCCTGCGCAAACCCATCCACCTTCAGTATTCTCCCCTTCTGCTTTCACGGCACTTGAAAAATTGTGGGTCAGACTTTTTTGTTGTTGTTGTTTTTGTTTTTCGAGACAGGGTTTCTCTGTGTAGCCCTGGCCGTACTGGAACTCACTTTGTAGACCTGTAGACCAGGCTGGCCTTGAACTCAGAAATTCGCCTGCCTCTGCCTCCCAAGTGCTGGGATTAAAGGCATACACCACCACTGTCCAGCAAGTCAGACGGTTTGTGGCTGCGTTGGTATCCCAGTCCCTTCACTGGAAGGCTTGCCTAGTTACAGGAGAACACATTTCACTTTTCTGGCTAATAAAATTCAATTGTGTATATGTAGCACATTTCATTATCCATCAGTTGATGGGTATGTAGGTTGGTTTCGTCCTCGATGTTTTGATTATAGCAGCAATCAGCATGGATGCACAAGCATCTTTATGGTAGGTTTCAGAGTCATTTGGGTGTGTACCCAGAAGTGGAAGAGCTCGGTCTTATGGTAGTTCTGTTTTTAGTGTTTTGATAAACTTGCCCACTGATTTCCGTAGTAGCTTCAAAAGTATCCATTCCCATCAACTGTGAATAAAGGTTTCCATTTCCCTCATCCTTGTCAACATTTGCTGTTGTTTGTTTTCTTAATGATAACCATTCTGGGCTGGGCGGTGGTATCGCACGCCTTTAATCCCAGTACTTGGGAGGCAGAGGCAGGCAGATTTCTGAGTTTGAGAGTTTGAGGCTAGCCTGGTCTACAGAGTGAGTTCCAGGACAGCCAGGGCTACTCAGAGAAAGCCTGTCTCAAAAAAAAAAAAAAGATAACCATTCGACCAGGGTGAGCTGGAATCACAAAGTAGGTTTTGTGTTGTTTTTTGTTTGTTTGGTTTGATTCTTTTGAGACAGGGTTTCTCTGCATACCCCTAGCTGTCCTGGAACTCCCTCTATAGACCAGGCTGGCCTTGAGCTCACAGAGTTCTGCCTGCCTCTGCTTCCCAAGTGCTAGGATTAAAAGCGAGTGTTATCATGGCCCTCCTTCCCTCTGCTTCCCTGATTATTACCTTCCTGCTTCTGAGTGGGCCTATTTGCTTGTTAAATTTCCTACAGTCTGTAGGTTTTATCCTAGGTATTCTTTACTCTTTGGCTAATACCCACTTATTAGTGAGTACATGCATGTCGTTTTTAGGTTTGGGCTACCTCACTCAGGATGATATTTTCTAGTTCCATCCATTTGGCAGCAAACTCATGATGTCCTTATTTTTAATAGCTGAGTAGTATTCCATTGTGTAAATGTACCACATTTTCTGTACCCATTCCTCAGTTGAAGGACATGTAGGTTCTTTCCAGCTTCTGGCTATTATAAATAAGGCTGCTTTGAACATAGTGGGGCATGTGCCCTTGTTATCTGTTGGAGCATCTTCTGGGTATATGCCCAGGAGTGGTATAGCTGGGTCCTCAGGTAATGCTATGTCCAATTTTCTGAGGAACCACCAGAATGATTTCCAGAGTGGTTGTACCAGTTTTCAACCCCACCAGCAATGGAGGAGTGTTCCTCTTTCTCCACATCCTTCCAGCATGTGCTATCATCTGAGTTTTTGATCTTAGCCATTCTGACTGGTGTGAGGTGGAATCTCAGGGTCATTTGGATTTGCATTTCCCTGATGACTAAGGATGTTTATATTTTCTTATGTTACCTAGGAACACTAGCCCTTGGGTGGTACTGCCCACAGTGATCTGGGCTCTCCTGCATCAATCAAGAAAATGCACCTTAGACTTTCCTACAGGCCAGTCTGAATGGAGGCATTTTCTCAATTCAGAGTTCTCATCCAAGAATACCCTAGTGTTTATGTAAAACTGATAAACAAGCAAACAACAAACAAAATCCTAAATAGCACATACCCTAGGATAAACAGACAGAAAGGACATGTCCTGTCATGGAGGAGGAGGGGTTCCCTACTAAACACTGATAAAGGCACTGACAGACAGTGCCTTCCAGTATGTTCAGAGAGTCACATTCCATAGCTCTTGTAGCAACTGTGTTGTCCTTGGAGTTACTCATGTGATTCCTTTCTAGTGTGCTCCGTCTGTATTCAGGTTCATGATAGCCTTAAATGCATTGTGACAGTAATAACACAGAAGAGCTTCCACTAGGTGCTGGGCACTGTGCTTAAAGCTTTACAGATGCCATCTCTCTTTAATCTTCAGTTGAGTACTTTTTCATGTAGTGTGGGGGTGGATTTAGGGCCTCGTACCTGCTAGGCAAGAGCTGTAGCGTTGATCTTCTCCCCCTGGCAGTACATTTTATTTTTATTAATTATCTTTGCTTAGCTCTTATAGCTGCTAAGTAGGTATCGTTATGATTTCCTCTGTTTAACAGATGAAAGAAATGTCAGAGGAATGACTAACCTGCTAGAAGCCATCTGGCTAGTAAGTGTTAGAGCCAGCAGACAGTGCAAGCTCATTCTATCATTCTCTTGATTCCAGGGCCTGCACTCCTTCCCGAAAGGCCGAAGCTTTCATTTGTCCCTGCTCTCTGGCTCCATCCATTGCCTTCTTTCCCTTTTGTGCATCACACATCATCGTCCTGGCTGTGTCGGTGCCTGTATCAAAGGTATCTCCCTTGACTTCTCTAGGTCCATGTGTGGGGCTTCTTCTTCCCAATTATTCTTTTCCTTTTTAAACCAACCTCTCTTTTCCCCATTTTCCCTCTCTTCCTCTCTTTCTCCCTCCCACTGCCCCCTCCCTTTCTTTCTTTGTCAGGATCTGATGATGTAGCCCTGGCTATCTAGAACTCACTCACCATCTAGGCCAAGCCCCTGCCTCCTTAGCGTTGGGATTGCAGGTGTGCCACCATGCCTGGCCTTACTGGTTGGTCCTTTTCTAAGTCAACATCACCTCTTCTTGCTCTCTTCTCAGTGGAGTCCCTGGCCTTTGGTTCTTCTCTATAGTCAACGTTCTTGTTTTGTATGAGAACTTGTACTTACAGGACTGCTCAGACAGATCTTTACTTCCCCATACTAGAGCTGTCTGCTCTAAGAAGCCTTTCTTGAGCATGCATCAAGAAACAAGTTTATCATATTACTCACTAACATTGTCCCTGCTTCATTTCATCTTCTCTATTAGACGGTAACATTGTAATTCTTTCTGTACTGCTGTGCCATGTTGCCTTGTACACAGTAAGCACTTACTAAATATCGGTTGGTTGGTTGGCTGTTGGATGGGGGGTAGGAGAGGGAAGGGATTGGCTGAAGAAATGTATCCTGGGGGACAGAATCTTATTTTCTTCACGTCTTTATTTTGGGAGCTGGTTATTTATTTATTTATTTATTTATTTATATTTGTGGTACTAGAGATTAAACCAATGGCCTCACACATTCTAAGAAGGCATCCTACCACTGAGGTATACCCCCGACCTTCTTATTTTGAGACAGGGTCTTATATAGCTCCAGCTGACCTGAAAATTGCTATGTAGTTTGGACTGGCTGCCAACTCACAGAGATCTGCTTGTCCGTGTCTCCCAAGTGCTGCGATTCAAGGTGTACACTACCACACCCAATCTTTTTTATGTCTCTCTCTCCTTTTTTTTTGGAGACAGGGTCTCATATAGCCTAGGCTGGTCTCAAAATTCAATATATAGATAGCCAAGGATGACCTTGAACTTATGATATTTCTGCTTTTACTTCCAGAGTGCATACTAAGCAAGCATTCTGACAACTGAGCTACATCCCTAGCTCATTATTATTATTTTAATTTTGAAGCAGAATCTCATTAAGTTAGCCAAGCTAACCTTGAACTCACTATGTAGCCCGGATGGGCCTTGGCCTCATGATCTTTCTGCCTTAGCCTTCTGAATCGATGGGAGTTTTTAGGTCTATACCATCAAGTCTGCCTTAAAACCTTTGCATACTCTAAGTTGTGTTCAAGAGGTATGCTTTACTGAATGTACGGTGCTAGTACTGTGTTTGGTGCTGGGTTCTGTAAGGGTTTGTAAATGACTAAAGGCTTTAGGAGTGGGGACCTTAGCCACCTTTTAGTGGGTGAATTACAGTATGTGTCTTTGATTGGCAGGCATCAAGAGAAGAGTCCTGATGCAGAACCCAAGATTATTCCTTTCCAGGGTGGGTTTCTTCTACAAATCAGGACTGCTTCCCTGGGATAGTGCAAGACCACCAGATTTGCCACAGTGCTTATTGGGCAGAGCATATAAAGGGAGTTTCACCAGCAAGATAGCTAAGAAGCACCCAAGCCGACAACAATATCAGAAGAAACAAAGGCATTGTAGACCACAAGATGCCTCATGGCAGGAGAGGTAAGACTCAAGCTGATACCCTTTGTTTTTCACAGGTCAGAATCTATGGGTCCATTGAAATTCTCTTTTGCTAATCTGAGTAATACAGCCTTGTGAAGAAGATTCCCGAGGGTATTGGAAGTAGTGTGATCAGGGCAGTCTTGACGACTTGTGCAGGACAGTAATAGAACTACTTCTGGATTGTAGGAAATATTTTTGTTTTAGAGTGTGTCTTTGTCATAAAGGAGATCTTAAAGTTCGATCCTGCTTCTTAAGAAGGCCTGTGGAGCTGGGCGTGGTGGTACACACTTGTAACTGCAATAATCAGGAGATGGAGGCAGGAAGATCTGGAGTTACCCTCAGCAAGTTTGAGGCTAGCTTGGGGTACATGAGGCCCCGTGTCTAAAACCTAAGTAAATTAAAAATAAATTAAAACAATTTTAAAAACTAGGAAAATCAAAATCAAAATTCTATTCTGGCATGGTGGCGAATACCTTTTAATCTCAGTGCTTGGGAAGCAGAAACAGGTGAATGAGTTCAAGGCCAGCTTGGTTTACATTTAGAATTATAGATCAGCCAGGGTTACATAGTGAGACCCAGACTCAAAACAAGCAAATCAACCAACAAACAAACCAACAAAGCTATATGAATTCCAGATAGATAGTCCCTTTACACATAGATAGATAGCCAAACACAGTATACCTCATTTTATGTGACAAATGTATTTTTAAGGTCAAATTATATTTTAAAAGCATTAAGGAGGTGAGCTTTTGGGAGGAGCTCAGAAGTAAAGCTTCTTGTAATATGACTAATTACCGTCTGATAAATCTGGAATTTTCTTATATTGAATTTGCCCATCTGTTTTGCTTTATTAAGCACTAGACATCACCAAAATGGGCTCTTCTCCCAGACTCCCATCTCCTGAGGGGAATAAGAATCAGTTGTATCTTCTGAATTTAAGTAAAACCTCAGAGAGACTGGTGACGGGGGTACTTATGCATGGTAGGTGCTCAGTACATATCTGGATAATTGACAGTGTATCTGAATTATTTTATTCAAGGCTGGCTGATGTTGTGACTCCACTCTGGAGGCTGAGTTATGAAGAACAACTCAAGGTAGGTGTCCCCAATTCCCCCAGCACAATGGGAAGCTTGATTGGAGACTTCAGTCCTCTTGCCCCGTAGTTTCTTTCTTTGTTGTTGTTGGTTTTTGTTTTGAAGCAAGGTTTCATGTAGACCAGGCTGGTTCCAACTCACTAAGTAACTATGGATAACCTTGAACCTGTTGATCTTTCTGCCTCCTGAATTAGAGAAGTGGACTGCCACACTTACTTTATGCAGTCTCTGGGCTTAAACCCAGGGTTTCCTGAATGCCCGACAAGCATTGTGTCAAGGAAACCATGTTCCCAGCCTACCCTGTAGGTCTTCACATTCGTTTTGTAATAACTCTGATGTTTGAACTTGAGGCTCCTTCTAGCTTCTGAACTCTAGACTTGTGTACCCAAGTACTGATGTTCTTTCTTTGTTGTCCTTGTCATTCTTGTGTGTATGAGTGATAGAACAGTTGAATTACTCAACACAGGAGCCACCAGCCACGTGCATCTGTTTAAATTTAAGTATAGCCAATTTTGCCATAATGCTTGCTTTGAAAACAAATTTGTTTCAATGGATTGATGTATTAGGGAGCAATTTGAGCATAATGTAGATTTCGTGTTTGCCGGGAGCAATTTGTTTCATGAGAAGTGCTAGGTGAAAAGAGGAAACTGTACCCAGTTGAAGCCGGCTGCATAAGAATAAATAGAATGCACGTGCATATATGTCAGCCAGCTTGTGGCTCCCTCTGTTCTCTGAGGATATTATGGACTGCACCCATTTAGTACTGGAGGTCGAATACACCACCCGATACACTTTTAGGTTCTCATACTATACCCTAAGTGGCACCCCTTTTGGTACCCGCTTCTACATCCAAATCTTAGGTCTTTGGGGGGAATATTTTAGCCTTATTGTCATATTCTTTCTTTTTACAAAATTGTTAGGTTTATGTATTGTTTTGTATGATTAGTTTTGCTTACATGTCTCTGTGTGTACCACATGCATGCTTAGTTCTGTCAGAGGTTCGAAGGCATCAGATCTCCTGAGACTGAAGTTACAGACAGTTGTGAACCTTCATATGGGTGCTGGGAATTGAACCCAGGTACTCTGCAGAAATAAGTGTTCTTAACTGATGAGTCAACTCTCCAGCCCCATACTCTAATTTTAATTTTTAGCCATTTGACATTCATAAAGTGGTACTGTTCTTGTTACATTCTGTGTTGGAAAGGTGTTCCTATGTATACACATATACTCAGCGTGTTCCTACATGTACAGACACACACACACACACACACACACACACACACACACACACAATTACATACACTCAGTTGTAAGAATGATAATAAAAAACTTGCCATGGTGGTATACACCTTTAATCTCAGCATTTGGCAGGCAGTTGGCTCTTGAGTTGGAGGTGAGGCCAGTCTGCATAATGAGTTCCAGGCCAGACAGGACAAAACAAAGAGCAAGGGGCTGGAGAGATGAGTCTGCTTAAGAACACTCACCGTTCTTTTAGGGGACCTGAGTTTAATCCCCAGCACCTACATGGCAGCACACTGTAACTGCAGTTCCAGGGGATCTGACACCCTCTTCTGACCTCCATGGGCCCCAGAAACATACAGGGTACATAGTCATACCTGCAGGCAAACACCCAGACACAATAAAATAAAAACAAGTAAAAATTTAAAATCCCAAAGAATCCAAAACAAAGAATGACAGGGAAAAAAAAAGCAAGAAAGGATCCAAGGCCCAGATGACAATCCATATACTGTTGGGTACTCCCCAGGAACCTAGAGAAGTCAGGCGAAGGCTGTGACCAGTAGAAAGAAGAACAGAAGGGCTGAGAGGCAGGGAAGGGAGTGGGGAGTGGGATGATCAGCACAATATATATAGTGGCTCTAAAGAAAGCTAAATTCAGACTGTGTGGCATGGTTGAGCACAAGGTTGAGTACAGATACTTTCTGAAGAGTGGCCATTAGAGCAGTGTAATAGATTCCCACCCCTCCTTATGCTTGCTTCTCTGAAAGCAGTTTACTTGGGTGAATTACTAATGCATTGTAGAATGTCATGTGCCTAGCCCTGTTTCTCCCATGAGCCCTTACTTTGACTGAGGCCATTTCAAGTGCTCTAGCTACACGTGACTAGTGGCTACTGTGTGTGAAGAACGTAGCACAGAGAGAGCATCTCCATTATAGGACATTCTACTGGGCAGTGCTGACATATACTTTAAGTGTTTAATCTTAAAGGTCAGATAGAAAGATGAGCTCACACAGAACTCCCTCTTGACCTTTCCTTAGCATCTTATTAAGTCTTTGCCTGTGCTAGATTTCTTGCTTCTGTTATCTGCTAAGAGCATAACCCATGAATCTCGGAGAGACCTCTTTTGTCGTCTTTTCTATTCTTTGCAGTGAAACTACATTTGCTTCATTGCTTGTATTCTTTCTGTTGTAGGTGAAATTTGAAGCTCAGAAGAACATTTTACAAAGCCTAGAGTCTTACCTACAAGTGCTACATGGAGTCAGTGGCACGGTGGCTGCACCCCAGTCTGAAGGGCTTCGCTGTCGCCTCCATCCCATTATACCCTCTGTAAGTCTCCCTTGTTCTTACCCTCTGTGGCCCTGAAATGATATCAGCAATAGTCACTGGGCACTTGCTGGGGTCAGGTGATTATCATGTATCATTTGCTCATTTTTCTATTTACAATGGCCTGGAGGGATAAGTACTGTAATTTTTGTAAATGGAGCTACCAGAGAATACAGAGATTAAGCAATTTACCTAGAGCACACACCCAGAAAGTGTTGGAGCTAATGCATCTACACTACACTGTCTGATATAGCCTCGACACCATTACCTCCGAAGGCCGATTCCAAGATTTAAAACCCTTCCTACCGGGCAGTGGTGGCGCACACCTTTAATCCCAGCACTTGGGAGGCAAAGGCAGAGGCAGGCGGATTTCTGAGTTCGAGGCCAGCCTGGTCTACAGAGTGAGTTCCAGGACAGCTAGGGCTATACAGAGAAATCCTGTCAACAAAACAAAACAAAACAAAACAAAACAAAACAACCTTCTTAATGGCGCTTCCAAATAGCAGCATTCCATTCATGGCAGAGGTTGGCATACTGTGGCCCTTAGACCAAATCTGTCTTTTTGTATTACAGCCGAACTCACCTGTTTGTGACTGTGGCTGCTTTTGGGACTACAGTGTCACTCTCAAGTAGTTATGACAGGTGCCATATGTCCTGTCAAGCTTATCGATTCCAGCTCTTGACAGGTCAGGTTTGCTAGCTCCTGCCTTATGGGAAGACTGGAGATTTCTTTCCCAAATAAATCTTATTTTCAAATAGTGAAGAAATTCTATTCAAAAGCAAAGCAACTGCACAGATCAGAAATATGCTGTCAAGAGCAACAGCACAGAACATGGCAGAGTTCTCAGGACTATGGACCACGTGGATCACTCCAGCCAGAGACTTTAACATGTACCTTCCAAGTCAGTGTCATTGCTTACCATTTCTTGCCTTTCTTCTTGTCCTCATCTCCTGGCCTCCTTTCCTTTCCTTTTGTCCCCTTTAGCCTACCACTGTTGGCTACCGGAACAAATCTACCTTTTCTGTGAACCGGAGCCCAGATGGCAATCCAAAGACCGTGGGCTACTACCTAGGAACTTGGAAAGGTCAGTTCAAAACAAAACTAAACCAAAAAATAATGCAAAACAGTGATGGAGAGGGAAGAGGAGGCACATGTAGCAGTGTCAACAGAAGTGGACCACACGGTGGCCATAAAGAAGGCTGACTGCTTCGGTGCAGCTCAGGCTCACAAGGTTGATCTAGGTTAATTTCTGATGATTATAACCAGGATAGACATTACTGCCCTTGCCTATTCTTCCTCTAAATGCAATTTACCAACTAAGCCAGTGAAGGCCTCGAGTAAATGCTTCTGTTGTCACTGCTGCTGTCTCCTCGTTGTCATTGTAATCGTTATTTTTGCTCCTGCCCATATTGGGAGCAGTGCCCTCATTGTTAGTGAGTCACTATCAATTTCCCATTGTCAGAGACCTAAAAACTGGAGCTCTCTGTGATGGCTGACTCTGCCTTAGAAGAACTGGAAGGGAAAGCGCGGGTACACGTGAGGGAAATCACAGTGACATTTTCTGAAACTCACTGCCTGCATCCATTCCCAGATTCCGTTCCTGAGATTTTTATCTGCCCATTTTCAGCAAATCTACTCAAAGCCCCATCATTTTATATTACCCACACTGTTTAATATCCATATACCTTGAACTACAGTTCATTTGGACAAGCAATACATTCGGCTTTTCCCTTCATGGGATGAATTAAATGACTTTAGGACGTCAGGGTTCTGTTATTCAGTACTATAAAAACAAAACCCATTACATTTTATTTCCCTCTTAAAATCTGAACAGAAAGCAGATATGATCACATGGCACACTCGTGACGTGAGAGGAAGTGTTTAGGATTAGCTCCATTAAGAATGAGCTGATGCCCTCATATAGGCAGGGGTAGGGGAGGAGGGGTATGGGGGCTTGTGGAGGGGAAACTGGGAAGGGGGGTAACATTAGAAATGTAACTAAATAAAATAACCAATAAAAATGGAAGAAAAAATAGCTGATGAATGCCTAAACCAGGAAACAATTAGGTTTTCTCTGAAAAAAAAAAACAGCTATGTACTTTTGCTGCTTTGTTTTAGCATCTGCCTCCAAAGGAGGAAATTCCAGCTGCTGGGTTAGGAGGAAAATCATAAATAAAACCATTTATTGTTCACATAGATGGAAATGTCGTCTGTGTACCATGTAATCATCTAAAAAACATCCCAGAGAAACACAGTCAAGTGGCTCAGGTAAAATTGAACAAGGGCTGGTTGAAGATGACCCCAGGGCATTGTACGCTCTAACTGCAGTGTCCCTGACATTTTAATATGGGTGCCTGCCGTGATTGCTGGAGGAAAGGAGGGGGCTCTGTACTGAAAGTTTACCTTTTAATGTGGAAAGAACATTGCCCGGGTTTTGTTCCGGAGATGGTGTAGTGTGGGAGGCAGAACTGCTGTTGTTATATTGCAAATGTCAAGGGTCCAAGGACATTATTCCCAAGGAATAGGGAATAATTAGGAAAGAGGTACTGCTGAGACCACTGTGGTACAGCAGGTGTTCGAAATATTTGAAAGGTTAATGCTTTCAGCAGAACAAAGAAATAGCATGAGAGCTGTAGGCAAGGCGGAAAGGCATCAGGGGACTGAGCTGGGCACACAGTTTAGCGGTGGAATGCTTATGTAGCACTCACAAAGACCTGGTTTGATTCCTGGCACTACAAACAACTAAACTTCTCATGGAGTTGACCCCTGAGATTATGGGTCCACTACTGAATGCCTACTGGCTTTCAGGCACTGCACCTGGAGTGGGGCTACAGTGGTGACTCAGTTTGTCATTAGAAACGATGCCTGTGCTCACAGACCTGAGCAACAAAAGGCCGATGCCTTACTGAGGATTGAACTAGACTCCGAAGGATGCTCTTCCTCCCCTTCATTCTTACCAGCACCTACTCTTTTAATGATTTTTGCTTCTGACACTGGGGTGCTGCTGTATTTAGTGTGCTAATAAAGCACACTAATGGGACACGGGCTAAGTTCCAGAACTCTCCACAGCTGTTTTTGTAGGCTCACTTTCTAGAATCCCCATACCCCTCATCATCACCTTGTCCTGTTTTTTTCCTGAGGGTCTTTAGTATTTTATTACATTTATTTCTCTGTTTATTATTTTAAAACTGTTTCTTCACTTTAATTGTATGTATGTTTTGCCTGCATGTGTGTCTGTTCTACATGTATGTACCTGCTCCTTGTGGAGATCAGAAATGGGAATCAGATCCCCTGGAACAAGAGTTACAGATGGCTAGGAGCTACCATGTGGTTGCTGGGAATTGAAACCAGGTCCTCTGCAAGAGCAGTCACTGATTTTAACCTCTGAGCTACCTTATAGCCCTCATTCATTCATTCATTCATTCATTCATATTAGGTACATGGTGCATGTCCACATGTACATGTGTGCTGTGCTATACTTGGGGAGGTCAGAGGACAAGAGTCTTAGGCATCAAACTCAGGTTGTCAGTCCTGGTGGCAAGCATTCTTCCAGTGAGCCATGTCACTGGCCTCTTGTTAGTAATTATTCTAAAACTCTACCCTTCTTTATGTTTTTTTGAACTTATTACCTTTGACCTTTGGATTTCGAAGATTAACTGAAGAAGTTACAGCTCTCAGAAGCAAACTCCTTTGGCAGTTTGTCTATCTACAAATGTCACTAAAATTCGACCATTCTTTACTTCCATCTAGTGAAAGAGGTAGTCGTTTCCCCTGGCTCCCATCAGAGCTGAAGCTTCTCTTTGGACTGATTTCCTGCTTCTTAGGTTCCCTGTCCTGCATTACATACCCATTCTCCTGTTTCTTTGTCCACACTCGCCTAATAGCTCTTTATTTTTAAAGATGTATTTGTTTTATGTATGAGTACTCTATATGCGTGTACACCTCCATGCCAGAAGAGGGCACTAGATCCCATTACAGATGGTTGTGAGCCACCATGTGGTTGCTGGGAATTGAACTCAGGACCTCTGGAAGAGCAGCTAGTACTCTTAACCTCTGAACCATCTCTCCAGCCTCTCATAGCTCTTTGAAATTAATAATATGACTAGTATTTCCCATCCTTAAGAAATTCTAATGGGTCTTCCATGTGTCCCGAATGTTTTTTCTAAAATTGATTTTGCCGAAGCCATCAGTGAATCAGTTTTGTCAAAGCCCATAGAAGCTTTCTGCCTCTAGCTTCCTCTTATTTTGTCTTCCTGTATCTCTCGTCTTTTTCTTTCCCTCTTCATTTGGTTTGTGTGTGTGTGTGGGGGGGGGATGAGGTGTGTGCAAGTGCTTGCTAAGGCTAAGAGTGTCAGAGCTTCTGGAGCTAGAGTCATAGACAGCTGTGAGCTACCTAACCTGGGTGCTGGAAGCCGAACTTGGGACCTCTGGAAGAGCAGCAAGCTCTCTTTAACCCTTGGAGTTAACCCTGGAGCCATCTCTCCAGTCCCAACTTTCCTCCTGTCTTGTCAACTCTTTTTCAGTCTTTCACGTGGGATTTTTTTTTTTTTTAAAAAATTAATTCTCCTTTCCCATTATCAAGATTTGTGTCCCTGAGGACTCTATCTGAGGCCTTCTTCTTTCTGAATGTACTCTTGGGAGACAGCACCCAAGCTTAACTAGTACCCTGGGTAGCTACTTCATGAACTGACAGCTGTTACCTTGTTTTTCCATTCTGCTGCCCTCTAGAGCTTGAGGCAAGGTTTCCAGAGGGCACTGAACATCCCGAGAAAGCTATGTTCTGGAGATGTTGAAATCAGTGTTGTCTTAATCAGGTCTTCTCAACTTCTGTGCTATTGCTATTTTGTGTTGTATTGTTTTCTCTCAGGGGGGACTACTGGGGCCATTGTAGCATGATTAGCAGCAGCTGTGGTGGCTGTCTACTAAGCCCCATTAGTTTGGTAGTAAGCAAAATTGCTTCTACACGTCCCCTGGGGAACACAGTCTCCTCATGCTAGTAACTACAGCCCCGAACTAAGCTTATCCTCTTGTCTTCCCAAATGTTTCCTCCGTACTTTAGCTATTGGCATTACAGTGGATAAGAACCTTGTGTCATCTTAGCTCCTGTCACAGTCCCCGCTTCCTCCTTGCCATCTAATCCATCTCCAAGTCCTTGTCAGTTTTATTACTCTAGAACTATCTCGAACCCACTCAGTTCTACACTGTCAGCACTTGAGTTCAAATGACCATTCTCTGTAGTCTGGACTACCACCATGGTGTCTCTGCCCTGACGTCCATGGCCCCAGCCTTTCTTTTAGAGCATTCCTGCTCAGGAGCCCCAGCTGTCTGTAAACTGAAGGCAGTGCCATTCCCCTGCTGAAAGTTCTACAGGAGCTTCCCAGTCACTTTGAAGGCTCTGAAAACAATTATGCAAGTATCCGTGTTATGTGTTTGTTTGTGTGTGTATGCGCACACAGGATCAGGGGACAACTTGCTAGAGTTAATAATGCTCTCCTTCCACCACGTGGGTCCCAGGGACCAAGCTCAGGTTGTTAGGGTTAGCAGTCAAGCACCTTTATCCACTGAGGCATCTTGCCAGCCCTGCCGAGTATCCTTTGGAATGCAAGGTTAAATTCTTTACCATTTCATTTTAGGATCTTCCTAACAAGGAGCTCAGCCGTATCTTCTGCCCTATGCCTCCCTGCTTTCTTCTTTCTATTTGTACTGAACCCGTGTGACATTACCATGCTATCTCATTTCTGCCTGCTGGCCCTCTCTAGAATGCCTCCAGTTTGCAACCCGTCCCCACTACCGTGGCTCTTTATTCTCCAAGACTCCATTCAAGCATCAGTTCTATAGAAAAGCATACCCAGCTCCTCAGTCTGATTAAGAGTCCCTGTCTTCTGTACGTGGCTGTCTCTACTGTGCATCTCTTGTTCGGCACCTAGTACAGCATATTTCATTGTCTGGGGGTGCTTCCCACACTAGCCTGTGGAGGTAGCAGCTATGCATTATCTAACTGTGTATAGCACCTCTTACTGAATCATACACAATGTGTGTGAGTTTAGTGCATATTTGATGAAGTAATACTTCTTGTTTTATCAGTATTCTCAAATACTTTCCATTTATCTCTTTTAGATTATTTTGAAGCACAAAATGTAAACATTTTGATATGCGATCTAGGAGAAGAAACTTACCTTAAAAATACAATCTTATACCACTATCACACCTAAATATAGACATTTATCCATAATATCAAATATCTGGTGTTTAGATTTTGACATTAATTTATCTGGTATTTTTTAAAAGATTTGTTTGTTTGTTTATGTGAGTGCTCTGTTTTCATGCATACCAGAAGAGGGAATCAGATCCCTTTACAGATGGTTGTGAGCCATCATGTGGCTGCTGGGAATTGAACTCAGGACCTGTGGGAAAGTGGCCAGTGCTCTTAACCACTGAGCCATCTCCCCAGTCCCCAGTATTTTGATTTATTTATTTTTTTTATAGTTTTCTCAAGCCAGGATCTCAACAAGCTTTGTTCTTGGTATCCTTGGTCTTTGTGTTCAGACTCCCCATAGATACCGACATCTGTGGATGCTCAAGTTCCTTATATGGGCAATGGTGTAGTGATTGCATATCATTTACACTTGTCTTCCTGTAGGCTTAGATCTCTGGATTACGGGTAATTCTGAATACAATGTAAATGCTATGTAAATGGTAAGCCAACAGCTATGTAAACAGTTGCTATACTGTATTGTTTGTGGACAAAAGAGAAAACTGTTCAGTGCAGACTCTTTTTAAAAACAGTTTTTAAAAGTTTGGTTTTTTGTAAGGGGTGGGGGGTGTTGCAGGGGTGTGGTGCCATAGCGTGAGTATGGTGATCAGAGGACAATGTGGAGAATTTGGTTCTCTCTTTTTACCATGTGGGTTCTGGGGATTACACTCAGATTCTCAGGCTTATGTGGCAATCGATTTTCCCTCTGGAGACATTTTGCCAGACCTTTTGTCTTTTTTAGTGAGGATGTTTCTCTGAAGACCAGGCTGACCCGGGACTCATTTGTAGCTCATACTCTTCTCAGACCTACAGTAATTTTCCTGCCTCTGCTTCTGAGAGCTGGGATTATAGGTCAGGGCCATTAAGAATGACTTTTTTACATTAAAAAGAATCTTGATGGTTTAATTTTGTGTGTGGGGATGTGCATTTGTGCCCGTGCCTGCAGAGGCCATGGGGCATTGAGTGTCTGCCATATTCTTTTGAGACGGGGCTTTTATATGAATTTGGTGCTTCT